TATTCACATACTTAACATATAACCATATGCATGTATTCATGTTCACAAAGAAATCATATCAATGTGACAATTGCATTCATGAACTCATACAATCTAATAGTGGAAATAGACTCATCACAAGTCTTATTTCCATAAAACATCTTATACATAATAACTAACACTCACCTGGCCTCACTAGTCAATACCAAATCCTTATATATTCTTGATGACTGATACTTGACACCTTGTCCGGACATTGCTCTCAATTGATATCTACGCAGTCACACGTATAATATACATAACAACATTCCACTTGGCATACTCTAATATTTCATTTCTTAAACTAAAAGAAAGGCTACTTTCTTATTCTATTTAAGGTAGGTATCGGTACACTCTGTAGTGTATCGGTACATCCCATAATGTGTGTATCGATACACTACCTATGTATCGATACACAAATTACATTTGATGTTTTCATTTTAAGGGGAGTATCGGTACACTTTGAACATTTTCTGGAAATTTACCCTTGATGTATCAGTACATGTTGAATGTGCACCGATACACACCAGCCCAGAATTCATATTTAAGCCCGAAAATCACTCCAATCTTACTTAAACACTTTATATTTCATCCTCTATCATATTCTTAACTCTCATATACATACTTAAACTCATTTCTACTCACTTATCACATCCTAAATCTCAAAATCATATCCTCTACATGGACTTCAAGAATCATGCCAATTTTTCCACTTGTTATAAATCCAATTCTATCACTTCATATTTCTTAATTAGATTAATGACAAGTCAAATTCAACTTCCAATTCTAATTATTAACTCTATTTCAAGATTTCATTCAAGAACTCCTAATCTTTAATCCCCCTAACTCCATCATCTTTTGATGTTAAGATAACTTAAGCTTTCCTTAAGCTTAGTTATCATCTAATGATCATAAACCAACCTTTAATTTAGCAAATCATCAACTAATCAAGAAACTTACCTTTGCTATTGAAGCTCACGGTTGGAGAAGAAGAAAGCTCTGGAGAAATCTCTCCCTTTTCCACGTGGTTCCCTTATCTTATAACGGAAAATAAAAATATTCCTTATCAAATGACCATTTTACCCTTTAATTCATTCTATAATTACTCAACAGCCTTCTTAAAATATTTTCAATAAGTCATTAAACTATTCAATTATCCTACTTTAATCACCAATTTCTGAAATTTTACAATCTAGTCACTAACCCAGTATTGAGGATGTTACACTACTCTTATAAGTACTATTGATTTTGGGATTAGAATTGGTACCAAATAAGTATGCTGGAATTTGAAATTTTCAAAAAACAAAAGGGTGGTATCAATATTACCATGTGGAGTATCGATACTACTATGAAAAGTAGTACCAATACTGAGCTAGTATCTTTACCAAAATAGTATTCTATTTTGTCAAACCTACAAACAATATTGGTATTGCCTTAGCAGTATCAGTACTACTACGTAATTTTGGGATTCAACATCGATAGTTGTATCAATACTTAATGACCAATATTGATATTGTTCTTGTAATATCAGTACTACTATGTTTAAAATAGATTTTTTACTCGATTGAAGTTTGAAACACTTAGTAAAAATTATTTCAAAGTTATTTCCAGTATAAGACTCAATTTTTCAATAGAGTGAGGAGTAAAATAGAGTTTTTGACCTTAAAAATAATTTATATATTCGAAAGACCGAATCAAATATAATCTTAAAATTTGTTAAAACTATTTAATATTTTTGGTATATCAAAATATCAAAGTATGTTCTACAAATGCTAAAACAATAATAAAAAAATGGCACTACATTGAAAAATTAACTTTATAATAAGTGACATAACTCATTCCTATTTATCGGAGGCATTTAAAAAGTTCAAATTTGAACTCATCATATGACTTCAATGGTTAAAGGGAATATTAATCTTTTTTGAAGTCCTAAGTTTGAATTGTTATTTTTGCGTTTGCTGGATGTGTATGTGTTATCAATGATTAAGGATAATTCTAAATAGATATTACCCTTGTAATCATCCCAAAGTAATCAAATCATAATTTTATTATTGTTTATTATAATATACTTAGAGCAACTATAAGAACTCATTAAAATGAGAGAATTAGTACGAGAATTTAAATTATAGTAGATTAATAGAATAATCATTAATTGAGGAAATAATAACAAATCGATCCTTAAAAATATAAAATTAAAAATATATTATTTTTAGGGTAAACTACATTAGGTAACACTAAACTTTTCTCGTTGACTCGTTTATACCATTGAACTTTCAATTTTGCCAATTATAACACTGAACTTTATTTTTACATTCAATTATGTCACTCCGTCGTTAAGTCACTAACGGGACGATGACATGGCTAATGGTTGTGGACGTGGCATGCCCCACCAAAACAACATCGTTTTGGCACGGTTGTGACGATGCTTAAAACAACGTCGTATTAGACACCAAACTTTTGAGGTGTGTCAATTTTGCCATTTAACTTTTAAATAATTTTATTTTTTACCACTACACTTTTCAGCCACTTCCGACAACTAAGCATCGCCATTCATCGGTCATATACCGCGACAAGACTGGCACTAAAACGTTCATATTTCAATCCTCTTTCTTCTCCTAAGATTGGTTTTCCATAAAACCCACTTAAAATCGACGAAAAATACATTTAAAAGTTCAACGTATTAATAATCTGATCTCTTTCAATGACCGACCGATGAGGATAATTTTATGGTATGTTGTTCGTCTTCTCAAACTAATGCTTTTCACCATTCAGATTTTTTAACAAACACCCTAAATCCCATAAATCTAAATCTAATAAAGTCTCCAAACATCTAAAAAAATGGTAGATTTTTGTGTTTAATTTCGTTGATTTTGAGTGAGTTTCATGGAAAACGAATCATATAAGAATGAGGAGTTAAATATGAACATTTCATACCAATTTTGTTGCAAAGATGATCGGTGATGGACAACGATTGATTGTTGACGGCGATAAAAAATGCAGTAGTAAAAAAGAAAACTATTTAAAAGTTCAGTGGCATAACCGATACACCCCTAAAGTTTAATGTTTAAAATGACATCGTTTTAGGAATCAAAAACATTGCACCAAAACGACATGTTTTGGTGTGGCATGCCACATCAACCACCGTTAGCCATGTCATCGTCCTGTTACTAGCTTAACGATAGAGTGGCATAATTGAATGTAAAACTAGAGTGTAGTTCTATAATTGGTAAAATTAAAAATTGAATGGTATAAAACGAGTCAACAGACAAAGTTCGGTGGTATTTGATGTAGTTTACCCTTATTTTTATACTAAAATAGAAATCTTATCAAACAAAAGATTTGGATAAAACCCCCTTAATATAAATAACACCAATCTAAATATATATATATATATATATATATACGATAATGATATTTTCTACGAATCAAACATACTTTTAATATAAATCATTCCAAACTAAATATGAACATATTATTAGGGGTGTAAATGAGCAGAACGTTCGATGAATTGTTCGTGAACCATTCGTATAACGTTCGTTTATGTTTATTTATTAAGCTAAATAAATGAGTATGAACAAATTTTTTTTATATACATTTAATAAACAAATGAACACGAACAGAAATGTATCCAGTTCGTTTATATTCACAAACAAGTTCGTTTATAAGTTCATTTTACCGGCTTGTTCATTTATGTTTATGAATAAACTCATTTATCCAGTTCTCATTTTCCTTTTGTCTTTTTACATTTTAAATATTGGTGAAAGTAGGGACTAAATTGAATTCATGAAAAAAGTTGAAAAATAAAGTGTGAATTTTAAGGACTTTAAGCATTAGTGGCGTAGTTTTACCATTTTTTTAGCTTACAAATGAAAGGGTAAAACTAAAAAGTTGAACATATAAACGAACATAAACAAACACTAAACAAATATATTCGTAAACGATAAATGAACACGTTCATGAACATATAAACGAACATGTTCGCGAATATTAAACGAACATATTGTCGAACAATAAGTAATCGAACACGAACACCTTCATAAATAAATAAACAAACACGAACATGATATTAAAAATTTAAATGAACATGAACTAAATATGAACACCTTCAAACATAAACAAACTAACACGAAAATAACCTTATTCATTCAAACTCAGTTTATTTACACCCCTACATATTACCCTAAAAATGAAAATATTATTACAGAAAAACCAAATGCTCCCTTAGGAATTTAACGGTGAAAACAAAAATGAGTAACTTCGCGATAATTAATCGGCAATTTTTTTTTATCTTGGATCAAATGAAAATTCATTGAAGTTGGAGACTAATCGAATTAGTTTAACCTATTAAAAGGAAAAAAGAAAGGTAAATTACAAGTTTAATACTTAAATTATCAGTTTTGATTCGTTTTAGTACCTAATTTTTTTTTCAAAATCATACATAACATTTACTTTTTGTTTTGTTTTAGTACCTCACTGTTAAAAGCTTAACAAGTGATTTGCACGTGATACTTTTTTTATGAGTAAATTGCATAATTCATCACTCAACTATCTTATCACTCATATTTTGGTCACTAAAGTTTAATTTTTTTAAATTACTCCTAATTTAATCACTTTAACTTTCAAATTTATTTTTTATTTTAATTATATATTAATAAAATAATAAAAAATTTAATTTCATAAAAAAATATTAATAAAATAAATTAGAGTGATTAAAATATGAGTAATTTGAAAGTTGAGTAGTTAAATTGAAATTTTTTAAACTTTAGTAATAAAATAAGAGTGAAAAGATAGTTGAGTGATGAATGATGTAATTTACCTATAAAAGAATGTTTGTTAAGTTTTCAAGATACTATAATAAAATAAAAATTAAACATTAAATATGATTTTAAAAATATTAAAAGTTTAATTACTAAAACAAATTAAAACTAATAATTTATGTATTAAATACGTACTTTATCAAAACAAATTCCCCAATGCTTCTCTTCTCGCTTAAGAAAAGCGTATCGCCAAGCCAAAGCTACATCGGAAACCGTACTGCAAAAAATGCACGGCCGACCCCGAAAAGCGCCCAAACCAGAAGACGAAGCGGCTGCTACTGCCAAAGCCCAGAAGCTTCGCGCTCTCCAAACTCAGTTCTTCTCCTTTCATCATAGTAAAATGTAACCCTTTTGTTTTTGTTAATCTTCTGATATTGTTTAACACTTTCTCTGATCTAACTTGGAATCATTTTTGTTTTTCATTTTCATTTATTTAAATTGGTCAGTTACACAAAAGATGCGGTTGAACTCAGTGCTAAGCTTCTCGAGATCAATCCTGAATCCTACACAGCCTGGAACTATAGGAAACTCGCTGTCGAACACTATCTGAGTCAGCCCGACTGTAATCCTGATTCCGTCAAGTCCGTTCTCAATGATGAACTCGGAGTGGTGCGCCATTTACTAACCGGAAAGATTTCATTTTTAGTTTTTTACTGTCCTATTTTAGTTAACTTAATTTGATTTTTTCTCCTTTGTTTCTAAAGATCGAGATTTTCTAGCTTGGATTAGTTAGGATCGGGATTATACTTAGTTCTACGCTGTTTCATTTTATTTAAGAACTTTGTTACTTCCTTTATCCGTTAGAAAAATATAATTCTCTTTCCTTCTTCGAAATGCTTTGATTGAATGAAATTGTGTAGGTCGAGAGTGCATTGAGGCAAAATTTTAAGTCATATGGAGCGTGGCATCATCGTAAATGGGTTCTAAGCAAGGGCCATTCATCGATCGATCACGAGCTGAGATTGCTGGACAAGTTCCAGAAGGCTGATTCTCGTAATTTCCATGCATGGAATTATAGGAGGTGAAATTATATGCCTTTTCTGTTAATCTTGGTGTGTGAGGGTGTGGACAACTATTACTTTGTGCCATTCATGCCTTTTTCTTTCTTTCCAGATTTGTTTCAGAGTTGATGAACAGATCAGAAAAGGATGAATTGAAGTATACTGAGGATATGATTTATACTAATTTTAGCAACTACTCAGCATGGCATAATCGCAGGTAAACCTGTTTCCTTAAATCTGTCCAAATGTGTTTGTATTTCTTTTGTTATGGTGCTTTAATTGTGTATATAGGAAGTGAATACCAGTTCTTTGTTTGATATTGTTGATGTTTTTCGTGCAAAGTTCCTTTTTGGGGAGCTATCGTAGTGGTGAAAAAGTGTATTAACAAGTTCAAGTAAATTCAACGTTTTCTTTTGATTGATATTATATTTGTTGTTGACCTTAGGATCCAATTGTGATATCAATTTTTGTATTAATGAATAATTATTCGAAATAGCATCTTGATTGCTGGTATATAATGTTTATCTCCATGCTGAATATCTCTTTTGATGATATATATTGTATGAATAATTTCTGCAGTGTATTGTTGTCTGCTTTACTTGAGAAAAAGGCTGAAGGGTTTCTCTCAAAAGAGAACGTCTTGCCAGAGGAGTATGAGTTTATACACCAAGCTATATTTACGGACCCTGATGATCAAAGTGGATGGTTTTATCATCTTTGGCTTCTAGACCAAACAGTTACAATTGACTATCCTCTCCTTGTTTCTACTTGGCCTGCTCATGGTTCTGATGTCTTTCTAGTGGGAGATAGGTGCCAAATCGGTTCTTCTTCTCCATTCACAACTCTGTTTTCTGATTCAGGATCATTTCCAATTGTTCTTTATTTTAATCAACCTGTTGAGGGTGTAAGCTCATCTACAGTTTCCATTGAATGTGGGTTTAATAAAAGTAAAGATCTTCTTTGGGAACCACTTTCTGTAAGTAATTCACAAACTGCACAAGTTTGGGTTGCACATTTAAAATTTCCAACTTCAGAGCTTGATTCTTCAGTTGAAGTTAGTGTTGGACACACTAAGGAAATTGTTTCAAGAAGAGGGTTTCAATATAACCATCCTTCAACGTTTTCATTTAAAGTACATGTACAGCCTGTGGAAAGAGATTCTTCTCAAGTTTCAGTTGCAGAAAATATTTTATGGAGAGAAGAAAATTTCAACGTCTACGGAGAACAAGCGGAGGAATCAATTCCTATTGTCTCTTTTGATCGACTATGTATCAAGAATGGCCATGAATCAGCTGCATCTAACTGGCGCATTGAGGCTTTAGCTAAAGAGATTGAATGCTTCCGTGAATTGCTATTGTTGATGGACTGGTAATTCTGTTTAATTTAATTATTAGATTTATTAGACTCCTAGGAAGCAACATTGCTAATATGGTGTCTCTTATTTTTCTTTTTTCTTCCTTTTTTGTAGCAAAATTGGAAAGCTTACGCTTGCTAGATTATTGACGGCTTATGATGCTATGCTATTTCCATTTGCTAACAAACTGGTTCATTCAGAAGAAGTTCTTGAACTGTATAATGATTTGATGAAGTTGGATCCAACTCATCACCGTTACTACAAGGATGAATATAGCTCCGTCTTGCTACAGAAAGTGAGACATTCTTTCCTCTGTGATAGTTACTAAAAGCACCATCATTAAAGTTTTATTGTTGTTTCCGAGGATTTGTATAAGTAGTCAGATCTTTTATACAACTTCTGAATATATCTTTACTTGGTATGTTACTGTATGCAAGTCTTTTTATTTGAATAAGTAATTTATGGAGGAAAAACTTTCCTTGGACAGTTAAACTTTGGTGTTAAATTTTCTGCATATTTAGTCCTCTCAGTTGTTGTGATTCTTCACCTCCATAAGATGTATGTTTTCAGTTTTCACTATTCTGATTTTGGTTTAGGTTTGTTGGATTTGCATGGAGGCTAACAGAAAACCTTTTATCTATCAATTCTGTAGATGACATCTAGTAAAGAGTCTTTACTGCAACACTGCTTTCGGTATAAGGACTCAGTTTCATCAGCTATTGGCAATACTATCTGTCTTCGGCTGAATAACTTGTCATTATCGCGAACAAGAGCTTTAGAGAAATTACTGTGGGTCCAAATGTTAGATCTCAGCCATAATGAACTACAATCAATTGAAGGTATAGTACTCTTACTAATGTTTCAAAATGTTGTTTGTCGAATTGGAGCTCTTAGTATGAATCTTCGATTTGTCTTCCCACTCCACTTCAGACCCTTTTATTCTTAAAATACGAAAACTATGAATCATATGTGAGTGTAAACTATGAATGATGCTCCCTTGTTGGGTCCTTTTTTCAACTTGCTTATAGTTTGCAATGTGACTAATTTTCACTCTGTTAGAGTAGCATGCACTGACTTGGAGTAGAACCTCTTTAGCAATTTACACTTGACTGAATGTGTTATATTTTAATGATAGGATTGGAAGCTATGCAGCTCCTCTCTTGTTTGAATTTGGGAAACAATAAACTGAGAAGTTTAACTGCTCTGGAGCCTTTGAGAAAGCTGAAGTCATTAAGAGTACTGGATATTTCATACAACCAGATCGGTGATCATTCTATCGACACAACAAGGTACTTGTGCTGTTCTCCTCTGTCACATTCCGTTGGACGCGAATTGAACAAGGATGAAACCGTGATCAACGATGTTACTCTAAACTATTGGGAGGCTTTTTATGTGTTTAGGGACTTGAACTTGTATCAATTAGATATAGTGGGAAACACGATTGCTGATGAAAAGTTTAAGCCGGTTCTGGTCAAGATTATGCCGACACTTAAGCGACTCGATGGCGAACTATTAGATTAATTTTCAATATGTTCTTTTGGTAGTCTCTGCATTTGATATCCAGTTCAGTACCCATCCATTACCATATTATTGTTATAATTTGAGAATTCTTTTTTTGTTGTAACATGGGAACTTACAGAAGATGATGATGTAACGTTAAAAGGTGTTGGTCATAAACATGGAATAAACGTTTGACCAATTATTTTGCAGGTGGGAAAGATTATTGACTGTAAGACTGTTTGGTTTGCGGAAAAGATATTACCATGCTACTAATCTTTTCCGGAATTACATAGTCATATTTGGATCGTCTTTATTTCCACCAGGGAAATATAGCATTACAATACCAACATTGACAACATTATGGGATCGTAATCCCACTCTTTTCTTAGTATTTTTCCATTCCTGTCATTTTGAATAAAATTTCCTTAAAATAATAGATTTTCTACGTGTTGGTTCGTTTGTTATGTATTTTTAACTGAATATATTAAATATGTTTATTTTATATTAGTTTGATATTTAAATAGTGTTACATGCTTAAATAGTTTCTTAATATTTGATGTGTTTTTATTAATATTGTATTTATGATGTTTCTAATATTATTTTTAAATATATTATCTAAAAATTTAGCTCACAATGTAAATTTAATTGAGATAATGTAGACTTGATGTGAGTTTGAGCGAGATTTTGACTTTCACTATCATAAGTTACTCAAATAAATTTCGAATTTGATTCGACGATGAACAAGTTAAAACTTCAATTTTTGGGATTATTTTTCTTAAATGTTCTCTAGGTGTTTAAAAAAAATATTGTTATTGACGCTTGTTAGATAACTTGATCACCATTTAAGGGTATGTTTCTAACTCTAAACTATTGTTTTAATAATTTAAATACTTATATTTAATTATTAAAAAATAATTTAACTCTTATTATGTTATGGTAAAAGTAAAGACAAGATATTTATGTAATTTGTTTAAATATTTTTAATATAGTAACTATATTAATATCTAAATAGTGTAGTGAAAGTAATTTTATGTAAATTTTTTGATTTAGTATAAAGATAATTTAATCAAATTTATGTTCAAGTATTTTTTATTTTTCAATAAAAAATTATAATTGCATATTTTTATTGGATAAATCAAATAATATAATATAATATTTAAAAAGTATATTAGATAATGTTATATTCTGATTTTTTTTTTTTACATTTCATAAATCAAACATTATTAGATAAACAACGTTGTATGTATCACCAAAATAAAATAACTATAGTCGAGTCCCTTTACTATTGGGTCATTGTTATGGAATAATCGTTTTTTTATCAAATAAAAAATAAAAATCATCTCGTACAAACTAAGCGATACTGATGGTTGAATCTTTGATCATATTGAGCATTCGTTATGGAATAAAAAGAACTATATGATATTTGAGCATATATATATATATATATAAAGGAACTATCCCGAAAGTTCGTTTACTATTGAGTTATTGTTATGGAATAAAAAAGAATGAAATATTAGTTTTTTTTTTATTAATATGGGATGAGAACAAAGTACTATCTGATCAAAGATAACTCTCAACCATTTGACATTGAATGCTCATACCCCTGTCATTGCTGGTGTTTGAACGTGAAACCTTAAGGACCTGGGCATTGCTGGTGCTTGAATGCCTCAAGGAATAACAACAATTCTTTTACCACCGAGATTATTGGGATTCGTGCGAAATGAAATACTAGTAGGAATGAGGTATCGAGGTAATATTTAGGGTAAATTCTTATAAATGCCACTGAATTTTAGTCTATGTTTTGTTTATATTATTGAACTTTTAATTTTTTAATTATATCATTATATTGGTTTTGATTACAATCATGTCTTTAAACCGTTAAAATTAAATAGTGTGATCACATAGACAAAATAAAATCATTTTGGCACAACTTTGATGACTAAATCGATGTCGTTTTAGACATTGAACATTAGTGGTGTATTGATTTTGTCACTAAACTTTTAAATAATTCACTTTTTGACACTACACATTTTTTACAGTTGTCGAAAACCAATCACCGCCCATCATCGATAGTTATTCGTGACAAGATCAGTACTAAAATGTTCGTAATTCGCTCTTTTTTTTCTTCTAAGGTTTGTTTTTCACAAAACTCACTCATAATTGATGAAATCAAAAAAAAATCCATCATTTTTAGGGTTTTGGAGACTTTCTTAGACTTAGGGTATTTGTTCGCAAATCCAAACAGTGAAAAATATTATTTTAAAAAATAACATTCCTCAAAACTAGCCACATCAAACGAACATCAGAGTATTAGCAGGTCGAACATTTAAATGAATTTTTGTCGATTTTGAGTTGATTTTTTGGAAAATAAATCTTAGAAGAAGAAAGAGGGTGAAATACGAACGTTTTAATGCTAATTTTGTTGTGAAAGACGATTGATGATGAGTGATGATTGGCTACCAACCACGACTGGAAAAATTGAGTGCCAAAATTGAATATTTTTAAAATTTAGTGGCAAAACCGATACACTCCTAAAGTTTAGTGTCTAAAGCAACGTCATTTTGTGCATCAATAACTATGTCAAAATGACTTTGTTTTATCAATGTCATTACATTGATGGAAAGATTCGTTCGTGTCATCATGCCGTTAAAATTTAACGATCCAATGACATAATCGAATTCAAAATCAAAGTTTAATGCTATAATTGAAGAAATTAAAATTTCATTTATATAAATGATAACCACCTAAAGTTCAGCTATATTTGGTTTGGTTTACCCTAATATTTAGGATAAAATACGCAAATGGTTCCCCGACTATATGGTGTTGATTTGTTGAGTCCCCCAACTATTAAAAGTTACAAAATAATCCCCGAGCACTACTTTGTTGAATCCCTCAACTATTAAAAGTTACAAAATAGTTGTCCGACTATTCATATGTTACAAACTCAACAAAGCAGTATATCCTATAGTCGGATGACCATTTGTGTACTTTACCCTAATATTTAGAGTAAACTACACCAATAACCACTTAACTACTTAACCATTTTACTTTTATTACTGATTTGGAGGGTGACATGTCAAATTCAATAATTTATTTTCTACTAACGCTCAACCATTGAGTCAAGTTGATAATTTGCTTTATAATTTCCAACTTAAAGTATATATGTTGTATTTTAAATTCATAAATTCTTATTATATCTCTCAACTTAAATTCATATATTAAATTAAATTCAAATCTTAACTTTCAAAAAAATATTTTATTTTTATCTTAAATTATTAAATAAATTTTATTCTTAACTTAAAAATATATTTTACTCTTATTTTAACTACTACTGAGACAACCGAATATAGTATAGATAACACGAGAGGATCACATAGAGCAATCACCATCAATGAACAAGGCTTCGAACCAAACCGTGCAAATATCAACAGAACCCTTAAAACCACTGGCAACAACAAGAAATTACATGGGGATAGCAATTCCAGAGGTCTTAAAGTAAGGAACCCTACAAGCGGTCAGTCCCAAAAACACCTCAAACCTCCGGTATGGGTTAGCAACCTTGTAAGCACAATAGAAGATATGGTAGAGCATGAGACCAGTCCGAACAAAGGAACAATAGTGGGATCAAGCTATGATCTTAACATGACTGATCCTCCTGAAGACATCTCGGGCGGAGTCGATAACCTAATGAGTGACTTAGCGGATGACACGGACCTTAGTGTCCACAACCATGAGACCGAGCAGTAAGGATCAAAACTCTTACTCGTGTTTGTATTTAATGTCGGTCATTTTTTTTGGAATTGTCAGGGCGCAACTAGCCCTTCCTTTCGAAGAATTCTCAGATTCGTCATCGAGCATCATCCGCAAATGATCGCCCTCCTTGAACCTCGGATATCTGGACGTTAAGTGGACAAAATCATCTCCAAATTCAGGTTCGACAATTCATTCCGAGTAGAAGCGCATGACTTTAGTGAAGGTATTTGGCTATTATGGCAAAACTCCATAAAAGTGAAAGTACTCGAAATCTCAAACCAGTTCATTAACGGGAAAATGAAATCAAGAGAATTAAAACAGTGGACTCAATTCAAAGCAGTTAAAAGGAAACACTTATGGGAACAACTTCTCAATCTCGATCCTAATAGTAATACCCCCTGAATTCTATGAGGTTACTTCAACGCAATCACTGATCCAGACGAAAGGATGGGGGAAGTAGCGTCGGACCAGGGAACCAACAAACCATTTAGTGATTTTATCCACATCGCGGGACTGACTGACCTTGGTTACCAAGGGCCACCATACACGTTGTCAAGAGGGAACTCAAAACAATGGCTAGATAGGTGCATCGCCAACTCGTCATGGGTCGACCAATTCCCGGAGTCATACGTTAAACACTTAGAACGGATTGGCTTGGACCATAGACCGATACTTCTACGCCTCGAGGATGAAATAAAAGATAAGCAAAACATGCCGTTTAGGTTCTTGGCCGCATGGCATGACCATCCCCAATTCAAGGAACTCCTGAATTCAACATGGAAAGTGGATGAGACCATTACTGCAAATGTGTAAGCGTTCAAGACTACAGCAAGGGTGTGGAACACGGAGGTGTTCGGTCACATTGGGAAACAGAAGAAGACCTTAATTGCACAGATTCGGGGAATCGAGAAAGCACAGCAAAGGTACTATTCAGTCTTTCTTGATAACTTACAATCAACTCTCCAGACCGAACTATTAGCTGTGTTAGAACAAGAAGGATTGCTATGGAAGCAAAAATCTTGCACGCAATAGGCCGTACACGGGGACAGGAATGCTAAATTCTTCCTTGCATCAACTCTTTCCCGTTGACGAGCAAACAAAATTTCGGCATTGAAAAGACCTGACGGGAGCTGGTGCACCGACCAAGAAAACACCTTATCATGTGAATTCTATTGCAATTTATTTTCATCTGTAGGAACAAATAGTTATGGGTACACTACAAGGGGCATGTTCAGACCACTAACGAGCATGGAAATGCAATCACTACAAGCCCCCCAACTAATAAAGAAGTTAGAAAAGCCATCTTTGACATGGGAGCACTAAAGGCACCAGAAATTGATGGCCTCCAGACAACTTTCTTCCAACGAAACTGGGGAACATTGGGGTTCACTTTATTCGAAGGCATCAAGCAAGTCTTCACATCCGGTTCGATTCCACTAGAGCTCAACAAGACACTTCTAGTACTTCTCCCAAAAATCGCATCTCCCGAACAGATTAGTCAATTTTGCCCAATCAGTCTATGCAACGTCATGTATAAAGTGATAACTAAGATCATTGTTAATAGAATAAAGCCACTCAAATCGGAACTAGTATCTGGGAATCAAACGAGCTTTGTTCCTAGAAGAGCGATCACAGAAAATATAATTATCACACAAGAGGTAATCCATTTGATGCGATGCAAAACCGGGAAGAAAGGGTGGATGGAAATAAATATCGATTTGGAGAAAGTATATAATAGGCTTGAATGGGGTTTTATTGATGATACACTAGGCGATATTGGTTTCCCTTTATCTCTGCGCAGACTAATTATGGAATGCGTAACCACAGCAACTACTTACATTCTACGGAACGGCTTTGCACAGAACCTTTCAAACCTTCGAGAGGAATCCGACAAGGCAATCCGTTATCTCTCTACCTTTTCGTACTTTGTATGGAGAGGCTTGCACGATACATCTATATCAGAGTTTACCAAGGATAATGGAAACCTTTCAAAACTTCGAAGCAGAGCCCAGGTATTTCTCATTTATTTTTTGCTGACTACATGATTTTATTCGCTGAAGCTTCCGTGGAACAACTCTCAGTTATTTGGAATACCTTAACCATTTTTGCGAGACCTCGGGGCATAAGGTAAGAATAGAAAAGACCACAATATTCTTCTTAAAAAAACGTGCCAGTGAACCTTCAGTCACATATTAGTAAAGAACTGGGCTTTACGGAGGTAACAGACCTGGGCAATAACTAGGAGTACCATTAATTCACAACAGAGTTACCTAAGGAACGTACGATTACATCGTTTGGATGACACAAAACAAGTTGAATGGGTGGGTGGCAAAGAACTTAACATTGGCAGGAAGAATAACACTTGCCAAAGCAGTCCTTATGGCGCTTCCAAACTGCACCATGCAATCTTCCTTAAATTTCGAAACAAACATGCCTCGAGATGGAGAGAATCATCAAGAGATTTATCTGGGGAAAACCGGAGATAGGAAAGGCATTGGGAAGATATGTGCCTACCATCAACACAATGAGGCCTTGGCTTCCGGAATCTCAAAACCCAAAACGAAGCATTATAATGAAAATCGCCTTCAACCAAGTAGCCAAAAAAGACGCACTGTGGGTTCGCTTCCTTCGCGCAAAATACAAATGTCAGGACATGATGCTGGTCGAGATCAAAACCAGCAACGTCTCAAGGCTATGGAAAGGAATATGCATTGTTTGGAACGATGTTAGAGAGGTTATAACATGGAGCGTAAACAATGGGAAGAGCACAGATTTTTGGCGAGACCCTTGGATCAAAGGTTTGGATCCCCTCATTTCGTAAGCTCAACCACAGAGCATCCACACTTTAGGGACGAAAATAGTATCAGACATGGCATACAATACTGGCAGTTGGCTATGGGATAAGTTCCAACACCTGCTACCCCTCGACATAAGGTTACACATAGAAGCCATAAGGGACCTTTAAGATCATTCATGGATGACGGTGCAGGATGGAAATTAACCTCGGATCTTCAATTCTCAATAGATCAGCATACAAACTCTGGTATGGCCCGTATGTGCAGAATGATGAAGCCCTATGGAAGTCGATAACCAGTTTAGAGGTTTGCAAAAGATCAAAACATTTTTATGGCTCGCCTACAACAACAAGATAGTGACTAATGCGGAAAGATTAAGAAGTTATCTCTTATCGGACGATAGATTCCTCGTTTGTGGGAAAGCACCGGAAGACATTAACCACACGTTAAGGTGGTGCCCTCAAGCGATGGGAGTTTGGGTCACCTTAATAAAGGCCGATAAATTTGAGGAATCCCAATCCATGCAATTCAAACCCTGGATTCGAGTGAACCTTAATATCCGTAACCATTTCACAAGGCATATTCATGGTTTTCAGAACCGGACCGGTTAGCGAACCGGTCATGCTATCGGTTCACTGGTTCAACCGGTCCGACCGGTCGGAAGAACCGGACGACGTCATAATTATTTAAAAAATTAAATAAAAATACCAAAAATATTTAATAAAAAATAATTTTGTATATCATAAGTCATATTCAAAGCAAGTATTACATATATGAGTTAAAACCATAAAATCAAGTGAAACAAAATAATTCAAATTAACTACAACATAATATTTAAGATAAAACATATTAAATAAATATAATTAAATAACTATAATTAAAAAATAAATTTGGGGCTAAAAAATCATAACAAAATGATATTGTTTGGTTTAATTTAAAAAAAAAATCTCACATGGCTAAGAAACATAGAAGAACATCTCAAAAGTCTAAAGAGTAAAAACATGAGAACAAAACAATCCACATGGCTAAGAAACATAGAAGAGCATCACAACTAACTTCTATAAATAATAGAGGTAATTTGACATTCAAAATCATGGAGCCTTTTGGTGAGCAGAGAGTGAACTATTCTTTCACTTCAATCAAGCTCGAATTTTAGGCTTCAATCGAGCTTCTAAATTTTTTTTAGTTCAAGCCTTTTCGAGTTCAAGTTTCAATATTATATTTCGAGTTCGAGTTGAACTTGATAATTTTTAGTTCGTGAGTTTGAGTCGAGTTGAGCTTACTTTTAAAGTTTGAGTCGAGCTCAGCAATACTCGAGTTCGACTTGGCTCGTTTAACAAACGACGTCGTTTGGTTTATTTTTTTTAAATAAAAAAACAAATTGGAGGTTTTTTCTGGTTTTCAGCCGGTCTGGTTCGAACGGTTCAACGGTTCCGACCGGTTCACTAATAGCGGTTCAACCGGTTTAGTTTGAACCGGACTAGGCAACGGTTCCCGGTTGAACCGGTCGGTCCGGTCCGGTTTTCAAAACAATGGGCATATTGAAGAATGGGAGGTACTCTTCGGTTCAATCTGTTGGAACCTATGGTTGAATAGAAACGCTACAGCCTTTGATTCACCGATGGAAGGATGTGAACAATATTAGAAAGGAGCCACAAGCTACAAGAAATTAGCTCAAGGAAAAATCAAGCCTCCAGAGACTCAAAAACCAGTAGCATCGAAAGACAAGAGAAGCAGACTTTAACCTGACACGTCCACCATCGGGATGGGTAAAAGTAAACACGAATGCAAGCCGGAATCCATCAAACGAGAACTGTTAAGAGTAAAGAAACTGTTTGTACAGTTAGGGGTTAGTTAGAGAATTAGTTAGGCATTATATTGTAATTAATTCTATTGTAAAAACTATATAAGTGGTGCATATGAAGTAAATTAATAATACAGAGGCATTTCAGTAATCTTACTATTTTAACATGGTAATAACCAAAATTTCGATCCATTCCTCATTTCATTTCGTTTGACTTTCTCCTTGGGCCTATCTGGTATACTTATTTTCCTTTTTTTTCATCTAAGTTTCTCTCCTTTTTTCTTCCTTTCTTGATTCAAGATGCCTCCTGCCGATGAAATGCTTGGTTTCACTCATCCTTTATATCTGCATCCCTCTGATATGCCGGGCTTATTGCTCGTTTCTCAACCACTAGTTGGATTGGCCAACTACAGTGTGTGGAGCCGCTCGATGAAAATTGCTTTGCTTGCAAAAAACAAACTAGGGTTTGTTGATGGTTCCTGTCATCGGAGTGCGTACAATAGCGATTTGCAATTACAGTGGGATCGCTGCAATGCCGTTGTTTTGTCATGGATTCTCAATGTAGTTAGCAAGGATTTGTCAGCTAGGCTTGTCTTCTCTTCCAGCGCTGATTCAGTTTGGAATGATTTACAATAACGCTTCGATAAGATCAATGGGTCACGCATCTATTTCTTACATCGCAAAATTGTTACGCTCTGCCAGGGGGATTCCACGATTTTTGAATTTTTTACTCGCCTCAAAATGCTATGGGATGAGTATGAATCCCTAATTTCGTTCACTTCTTACAAATATGTGTCTCAGCAGAATATGAGGCATTTGGTTCAGCAGAAATTATTTAATTTTTTGATGGGCTTGAATGATTCCTATTCAGCAATCTGAAGTCAAAACTTGATTATGCAACCTTTTCCAATGGTTAATCAAGAGTATTCAATATTACGTCAAGAAGAGTCACAGCGTTCCCATCTTTCTGCAGTTGCTGTGCCAGACTCTATGGCTCTGTTTTCCAGTTCGGGTAGTTCGTTAATCGCAGGTGTTTTGCTGGAACCTGCGATTATTGCAATGTTAAGGGGCATAAAAGAGATCAATGTTATAGGTTGATCGGTTTCCTCCAAATTATAAGTTCCAAAAGAAGAAAGGAGTGTCTGGTGATTATGTTAATTCCAGCGTGTATTCTGCGTCTACAGTTCCACAAGTTTATGCCCCTTCTGCTCCGG